AATTATTTGCTTCCTATCTCAGTATAACCATTTATTGTGTTGATGTGCTGCACTTCGCCAATACCAGACATGCCCACTACTTTACATATTTTTTTTTTTACAATATTTGATGCGTTATGCTGCACTTCATTGGATTTTTATTGTCCGTTCGACAGTGCTTCGTTTTTTCTTCTGGCACACCGAGAGACGCCATTCTTCAATATCACTCGTGCAAGCAACTTCCGACGATTCAAGTCCTATCACCGTTTTGCATGAAGCTCGTCCGAATTGTTTTTGTGGTCATCGTGATCTGTGTTGTCCAAGCTAGCGCTACTCCCACCCAGCGCCGTCAACGCTGTGGCTGGTTCAACCGATCATCTGGCTGTCAATAGCAGGTTTTACCGGAAAGGGCTGATTTCACAGGTGCCACAGCTTCATGGTCGAGCTCAACCGCGCGGCTAAGTGATAAAAATAATCTGTTTCAGGAAAGAAAACACGAGCAACACTTTGTGTGTTGAGTTGAGTTTTATGCAGTTATCCACCCTCATCTTATGATAGCCTACGTCTTTTTCGAGTGCTTTTTTAATTAATAGACGTGGAAATGAGATTCGAAATCGTGTAACACTAGAAATTACGAGCTCCACATCGACAGACAAACAAACACGTATATAAACTAGGTGCTACTGAAAAATAAAACAAGACGTGTTGTTTCTCGGAGAACATTATTAGCCTTAGCACAGATGTGCTTAAATCGCGACAAAACAAGAGCTTCATCCGATAAATGGCTCTTATCTAAATTCCATACCTTTACCATGCTCAAGTCTCGTAGCACCTCGCTTCCGTCATATTTTTGTATGAAATTACGCTGCAATATTGTTATCGATAACGCGTTGAGACTGTGATTCTGTGCGCTTGGAATTATACGTAGACCGTGAACGTATACGTACAATCCACGGGGTTGTTGCTATACAATGTGTCGATATTAATTTAAAAATTCGAAATATATACTTTCATGTAATTTTGCATGATAAATAATCAATTGAATTGAAGTGCCGACATGGCGCGGCAAAAGTTGACAAATTGACAGAACGATGTCCTCTCCAATGGAGTCTCCATACGATATCGATTGGAAGGAATAAGATTCGGTTCAAAAAAACTGTATAAAAACTTAAGCATTACAAGAACACGAAAGCGGTTCCTGAGTGGTGGCTGTAGAGCTCATGCAATGCCTACAATTAATAGATATGGGATAGTATTGGAATGCTTTTTTTTGTTGGCTGAAAGGGAATATTTATTGGGAATAATTATTCCCTTTCAGCCTACAAAAATAGCAGAAATTCAGTTTTCCTAGCATTTGATTAAACTGTGAATTGCAACCTTTACCACCGCTTGAGTACGACCGACCATGGCGCTCTCTTGTTCAGCACATTAATAACATTACATGAATTCGTTAAATGTAAACGGCCTGTATCGGGACACGACCTGACGATACTCATCAGCCGAAGCAACTCATGTTATGGTTTATACTTACTATCGATCCTGGGGTTTTATGGCTGAGCACTTTCATAATACAGAACAACCAAACATTTCGTCAACCACCAGCACCGACACACTCCAGACTCATGCATATCTGCGTAGTCTTTCTAGCGGTGGCAACCTTGCTCACCACCATCAGTGCTACGTCGGCACCCACCGTTAAGTTCCAGGCCTCCCGATATATCATCCTTCGATTGGTCCTGACTATGTAGGACGCAGAAACGGGTGGTCGCTGAGAACACAAGAAACACGTGATCAGTCCATTGATCCCGACAACGAAGAGAGAGGTGCGAGCATGGATATTGCCAAAACGTTGGGTGCGAGTACGTCGAAGTGGTACAACGACAAAGTTCTGACGGCAAAGTGCTGCTGAAGGCATCAAAAACGGACGTGGATAAGCAAGCGAAGAAGCTTGTGGCAAAGAATATCGAGTCTGACCGGGTGTACACGCTGTTGAAGTTTCATAAGGATAGCAGCAAAAAAAAAATACTGGTAGAACCTTGGCGAACCCTGGCGGATATGACTCGGGTGAATACACACTATGGACGAAGCTTAAGGAATGTTGGGAAACAAAATATCCCATGTGGGTCAGCACGTCTGATGACAGGTAGTTCGCGTTTGGTCGCTGGTGTGGATGCTGCGATCCTGTGCCATAAGTTCGTTAGCTGTGAGCACGAAGCATAAACATATTTTCTAGATAAAAAAGACAAAGCGAAATAGCCCTACATTCATCTACTGCTCGGTAGCCAAATAAAACTTGTTGCACTCGAACCACGCACCTAGCTCCACCTAGTTTAGGCAGGCTCGATCCTACCAGTGATAGTTAACGATATTTTCAATACCGGCACTTCAGTTGAATTTTAAAGGTCCCAATCTCCTCAGGCCTTTGAAAACGGCAGAACTCTGAGATCTCGGGTGCCAACCTGTCAGATCTGGAGACTTTGCCAGCAGTTTCAATTATATTTGCGAGTTCTTAGCTAAATCTCAGCTAAAAAAAAACAACTGCATGCTGGTTGGTTACTTCTTTCCCCAGTTTGCATCCTGCTTCACGGACTCGATTTGGCGTCGTGCAACATGTTGGTGAATGGCGTGGACATCTCCATGCTGGAAGGGTGGATGATCAAGATCAACAGTAACCCCAGCTTCTTTGGCAAAAACATGAACCGTCGATGGTTCAAAGTGGGTTTCGTGCCTGGGCCAGGCTCCGAGAAGAAGCTTGTAATCTCCTACTCCACCAGCAAGTGCGTCGTCATCCCCATTACTCTATTCATTCCTATTAAATCTCCTCATATTATACCGCTTCTTCCGCATCAAACCTCAGAACTGCTAAAGATCCGCGCGGATGGCTCTACGTCGAAGATGTCAGCGGCATCTATTGCCGCCGGGTAGGAAAATGATCGAATATCTTGAAACATATTCATGTTTAGTGACTTTTT